TTGCACTGGAATATCCACAGAGGCTAAACAAAATAAATAAAGAATAGATGAAGAGGACAAATCTGTAGTAAAATGGAAGCATTTGTTAGGATTTTATTATTTCCCTTCACACCCAAGTTTGTCATCCAAAATGTAAATGAACAATGAAGCAGCATCTATTTCAATGCCCTGCAAAGGGAATTGGTGCACAAGTCCAATAAAGTAAAGCTCTTTCACATTATTCACTTGGATTTATACTGACTATTGTATACCCCAAAGAGCCATTTTTTTCTGTGGAAGCTATGGAGGTGGTGAAGAGGCAGAAATGCCAGACAAACCCTGAGTTATAAATCAGGTATGCATTTGTTCCCAGGGCTTCTTTTTCATTGCTGTTCTTCTTTCTGCTAAAGGTTTCCTGTATTGCTTGCCAGACTCCCAGAGTCTGTGAAGAGTGACCATTATGTACAGAAAATATTAAAGAAACTGGAAAAATACGGCAAGACTCCTGACTTGAAAATTCATCCAGACACCTTTCTTAAGGCTCTGTCTGATCTACACGTGTGGGAGCTGTGTTCTCCAGAAATTGCTGCAGCTGTGGAGGTGAGATGAGTCCAGTGCTTGATTCTCTGTGTGATGAGGGTTGGGAGAGCAGGTGCCTATGGGTGAAATTCATGCAGTTGAAAGTCATGAGATGAAATCATTTAGGATCTCGCTAAATGAGGGTGGTACTATTGATCTTCTGCAAGGCACTTTGAACTCTTCAGAAGAAAGACACTGTGACAAGCACTGCATTATTAATCAGTATCATTTTATTATTATGTCATTGTTGATTTATTTACCACCACAGTGAAAGTGACATCTGTCATAAATTATTAGGATACTTGAAAAGAAACATTAACTTCTTGTGCCCTGAAAAGGACTGTCATTCCTAGAAGTTCCATCCAAGAGCATTCAAGTAATGTATTACATCACTGATCCAGGAACTCTGCAGATATCTTTGTTTTGCTACAAGTAGCATTAAAAAAAAAAAAACCAATCTGTTTCTCAAGATCTTAAGTTGGGCTCAACTCTTGTAGTTCTAGAAGCAATTGGCAGAAGAGGAAGGACACAAGAAAGGGAAGAGGATAATACATTTAGAATGTATACAGCTATATGTAGCCTAACTAGGTAACGAACTTAAAAAAATGGCAATGATGCCACCTTGTGTTTTTTGTTCTCATCACAGTTACTTCCCCTAATCTACAAGACCAACAGAGGTCTCTGAAAGGCAGCAGGGGTTACTGTGCATCTTACATGTATCGAGTGTTATCATGCCTTAGGCAAAGATTTAGCACCCAACATGTCGAGATCAGATTACCTGTATTTTCTTGGTGTCTTATAAAAATAGCCGTTTTGTCTTATGCCCTAATTTGCATAGTCACTAATCAGAAAGGCAGCCTTGCCTTGATGTTCAATATATGTCTCTGTTTGCTGTTCTTTTTAGATGTATTTCTTTGCTGTTTCCATTCTGTTCCCTTGCATTTTGTTTGCTTATATTAATGCAATAATAATAGGGAAAAATATATGAGGATAGCTGAATCTCCTATCTACTTATTTATGCACCTTTTAAAAATAGCCACAGAGGAAGGAGGACCTTGATGCTCCTTCTAACTGAAATAGATAAAGGAAACTGTCACATTTTAGGAGTAAGAAGAGCACCACTGAATATGGCCTGGCTTATACTGACAGAGATTCCAGATGAAGTTCTTACTTAACTTCAGGTTGCTTTAATGTATGTACTCTAAGGGTAGGTAGAAGACGGCTGCAAATTTAAAACACAAAGATTTGACTTGGAAGGATTCAGAATATAAATTGCCATGAAGATTGTGGAGTTTTCCTTTTAATCAGATCATACCCAGCTGTTCTGGAAGTTGCATTAAAAATATTTTGGTGATATAAAGCACTATACTAACTGTCTGCAGAAGCCATTACATTTGTTCTGTTGTCACAATGGTCAAATTTTCCCACATGTTCTCTCTCTCTTGCACAAAAGCTCAGGAAACAACCTTTTTCTGTTTCAGTTTGTACGTGAAAGTATTGTGCAGATGCCAGAAGAGGATTTCAGCGAGTGGTTTCAGACAAGAGTAGCCCCCCTCAGTGCACAGTCCTCCACCTTTTAATCAGACAGATGAGATGGTTTTCCAGCTACAACTGTCTTCATGCAGAAAACTACTGCCTATTGAAATCTGCCTCAAGGAAGACTAGAGAAGGGGAATTAACTTCAGGAAGGCCCACTGACCACTCTTGCACCACTGAAATTTGTCCCTCTACAGTGCTCCGTTGGCCACAGTCAGACATAGAAAATAAAAGCTAAATACTGTTGCTCCTTCTTGTACGATGTCTTGGACTCACCATCAAACTTCAATCTCATCTAACCATGTAGGATGGAGACTGAGTTTCTAATTATAGGTCAGGTAATTTCTTCAGACGATCCTTTAACAATACCTACAGTATAACAAGCATCAACTCAGTATGGATACACTGATTTCCATACCTACATAGCATTGTCTCTGTTTGCTTTTCATTTTAGCTCTCCTTTATAAAAAATATCCTAAGCACAGGGTTAGTTGTAAGCTTTAAGACAATTCTTTTTTTTGCATTAATGCTTTTTCATAATTCAGATGTTAATTTTTGCATTGAGTTCATTCTGTAGTTATTTTGTGATTATGGATTAATTCTTGCCTTATTAAAATCAGTATTGAAAACCCAAGCATCCTCAGATACATTTCCCAAGTTTGCATGTTCCCCCCCCGATTACCTTAGCATGTATTTGCCATTTCTCTGCTGTGTAAGACAGTAGAATGACACTCCTGAACTTCCAGACAGTGATAAATTGTGAACCTGTCTGGGCTTAACTGTGTATTTCATGGTGGGTCACAATTGCTGAGTGATGGAATCAGTGACCCAGTGACTCTCTAAGCCCATGATCTTAATGAGTTGCTTACCTGCCTGTCAAAGCTTCCAGAGGACACACTGGGGAGAAATGCTGTTGATCCTTCGGCCGCAGTAAGGGGAAGCAATGCCATCTTAGGGTCCAGGTGAGTACAGTGACCACTGATGTGTAATATGTTACTGATTAATGGCCTTATTTTGTCCCTTTCCTCATTATTAAGAGATAAATGTTTTTCAGGGAAAAGAACTAAGAACACAGATTTCTTTGACTTACAGCCATCAGAGAAAAGTAAGCTCTTAGAGCTCTGTTTTGCTCCCACTTTTCTCATTCAATATGTGGTGGTGACAAGCTGGCCTTTGTACAGGTAGTAAAGTCATATTTTTCCCTGTCCATGCTTTTCTTTCCCTTCATCTCAAAATCTAGTGGCAAACTTCCCTCCAAAACTCTGTAGGACTGATCCTAGTGCCCAGTGAAATCAGTGGCAGTGCTTCTGCCAGTTGAGCAGGATGAGGTCTCATTCTGACTTGAGACCTGTATTCTTCCATTTCTTTTCATTTCTTGTAGCCCTCCATGGGTTTTGAGAAACCCCAATTCTGCTGTTCTTTTCAGATCTTTTAATTTTACCGTGATCTGAGTCAAGCTTCATTGTCAGTGCTGTTGTGTTACCCTGTGGTAACAGCTGATATTACACTCAAACAAAAAGAAATCTTAATTTAGCAGCTTCAGAGCTCCTGGTTGAGCTGTGGTTATACGAGGTGAAACCTTCATCTTTGTCCTTCTTCGCTATGTAGAACTGCAGATATATAGTTGTGAGTTTTCCTTACATATAGAAATGGAAACAAAGGGGCTTGTCCTCAGCTGGAGTATGAGTATGAGCCATGCTCCAGAAATCAAAACTTTCTACCAGCTATGTGACCTAATGTGGCTGCCTGCATGTGACATGAGATGATTGTGCTAAATGTAATTAGCTAATATCTGAGCAGCTCTTTGAGCTCCCAGTGAAGGATGGCAATGCTGAATGTTATGGTCTCTAATGTTGGGGTTTTTTTTTTGTGGGATTATGAAATATCTTATGTATGATTTTGTTTGACGGTGGCTCTTCTCTCCCCTATTGCCACCAGGTAACAAAAGGGACAACTCCTCTACAAAGAAAAGAGATCGTCTTTTCTTCTCTGGCACCAGACTAATAAAAATATTTTCTGCTTCTTTTAGTCTGAGGTGGAGAAGAAAATAGCAGCTTCCCTTTTCCTGCTCCCTGACAATTTCTTCAAGCAAGATCCTCAACACTACTCAAGTCTTTGCCAATTTAAAAGACTGAAACAATACGAAGAGGTTAGAGTTCCATACCCAGATAAAAGAAGACTTGAGCTTTTTAAACTTTTGGATTTTTTTCCTGCAGGTATCTTGGATTCTCACAAATATTTCTGTGAACATCTCACAATCTTCAACTTGCTGCTTCAGTAGACCCTTGCAAGGTAGGTTCAAAGTAACCCATTTAACACATTGGAGATGGATGCACCAAGAGTCCAAGCAATTTGCTAAAGGTCAACAGAGTGTGTGGTAGAGCTGCTGGATTAATGTTCTGTCTGCTTATCCTTCCTCCCATTCTGTTCTGGTTGTTTACAATTTCAACTAATGGGCCAGTCATTCACAAATCCCAAAACAAGCCATGCAAGCTTGGGTTGGTCACTTGCTTCATGCACTGGAGGGATGTCTGGGGGATTCAGACACTGAACTCGTGGGCAGAGAATCTTGATGCTGTTTCCTGCTGCTTGATGTGTTTCCAGTGTCATCCAAACCCCATCCTCCTCAGATTACACCTCTGTGAAACTGAAGTAATAACACTTTCCTGGGTGTCACCAGTAGCAGGGCAGAAAGTTGTTGTTGCATGAGAATTGTTTGGACATTAGCCTGATGAATGTTACAGGAAAACTCATCTATTAAAATAGTAAGTAATGCCTCTTTCACTGTTCACCCTTCCCTCCCACTTCACAATGGTTGTGAAATTGTCATCTCTACTCTCTTTTCATACAAAAGATTTCACCATGGTAGAAAAGCAGCCATCCATCTTGTTATATCAACAATACTCCCACTGTATTTGATATTGGACATAAAAAGCAGCATCTTATAAATAGGGATTATAAAATAAACATCTCTGCCTTTCTTGGCGATAAGCTGTTTTATTGTCAATAAATGTCACAGTCACTGTAAGGGTATTCAGAAATCAAGGTATGTCTTTCTGACTGGAAATTCAGCTTTATGTATCACCACTGTCTTCTGCTGTCTTGTAAATTAATGGCACCATTCCAGCATGTTAAAGAGATGCAACTATATTTGGCCTTAGGCATTAATAACAGCAATTCTTTTTGCTAAGTTTTAATAAATATCACTGTTGTGGTGTTGCAGAAGATAAAATCTCAGGCTAACAAGCCCCAGGATATTTGGGACAGCTCCAGTTCCTATTGAGGTCAGTGGAAAGGTTCTTATTGACCCTGTTGAGTATTGATTACTGTAAAGTCAGAATAGGTTGTTATGACAAGTGCAAAAGCTGATCTTGTAACCAGCAGTTTGATCTTTTATTCAAGGTACTGAGTGTTTGTGGCCATACTTTTTGCTATGCAGCAATCCTACACAAAGCAAAATAAAAATAACACTTCCCAATAGGAAAGCTGACCAACCACTACAAGAAAGTGATCAAACAGGAAAAAAAGATGTGACAGAAGGAATGCAGCTGAGAAGGATTCTCGGATACCCCAAACTTAATTTCCTATCTCTGGTGAGATTTCTTCTCATGTGCCTAAATGCAGCTTCTATTGAAGGACCGGGGCTGGGCTTGTGCCAAGGGCATGAGGTCATTGATCTGGACAAATTCTTCAGCAGTTCAGTGGCAGAGAGATTTCTGTACAGACCCATTCTTCTTGCTGAAGTCCCCACCCTACTCTATTTACAGACTTCCAAAAAACTTTATTTCTTCTTTCTGGATGCTAAAAGTTTCAGAGGCCCCTTCAAGAGGCATTTTACTGGGAAGCACGTCAGAGTAATGATTTAGTACTATTAAGGGCTGGTTTATGGAAAATAGTATCAGAGCTGTTTTGAATCATCAGAGTAGAAATAATGACACCAAATACATAGATAGGACTGTTCTTCATCCACTGCCTGGAGTGTAGTGAGAGGAATTAAAGCTTAATCTTTCCCACTTTGGCTGGAACTGAATCGCACCTTTGATTTGAAAGTAACAGCAGACTCTGTATCAGGGAAGGTTACATTAGCCAGCCCACCAGCTCATTATCTAGAGAAGCTGGAAGGACAGTTCTTACCCTCTCCATTTCTGTTATAACTCACACAAGGCTTGGCATGGCTTGTTCCATCCCACCCCTCAGTTCTTCCACATAGGAAATGTAATTTTTAAATTTCAGACCTGTGTTTGGGTGTTTGTTTTTCTTTAGCAAAACCTTGGCTTCCTTGATTTAACTGACTACTGGCTGAAAGATATCAATGTCCACCCTCCTCCTGAAAAGATCATAAACAGCTGATCGTGAGAAGCTGGGAGGACATACCAGGGTCTGAAACACCCTGAAATCACCCTGTTTCTTTTATTCTTCTTAATCTTCTGTCACTGGCCAATGTCAAAGATGGGATGTAGATTCATTTAGGTCTACCTGATGCTTGTGTTTTTTGACAAAATTGGAGAGGGAGGGAAAAATTGAAACTGTAGGGTAACAGTACAACATACCAGTGTCACTGTAGCATGTCTGAAGTTGTATTGGTCTTATTCATCAGGGTAACAGGAAGAAGCAAGGATATTCATTCAGGAGCCCTATCAACAGTGAGAAGCGAGGAATGCTCTTTTGTTGCTATGCCAGAAGGGCAGGGAAAGAACAGCATTTATCCCTTTGAACCAGCCACAGAGTCCCATGTTTTGAGGATGCCACCACAGCTGACTGATACTCTTCCTCTTCACGGTAAGTGGCCATTTCCATACTTAAGTGTGGTCTTAACAAATAAAAGGCAGATCCTAGATTATTCTGCAGTCAAGAAGGGAAATAAAGGGTATATTCCACTGGAAGAGAAAGAATTTTCTCTTGCACAAAGCCAAGCAACCTCAAAACTATCTCCTTTCTATCAGAATACGCCTTCCAAAGGAGCTGGCATGCTGTAGCTACACAAATCTTGTGCAGGTTCCACACAATTACATTATTTTCAATGGTTGTCAGTCCTGATTAACAA